ATAATATAAGAAAAATATCTTCTTGTAGAATCATTTTTGATTTTGTTGGGACATCAGGTAATTGTGTGATAATATGTTGAAAAGTATTTTTTATTTTAATTATTCCTTTTTAATATATTATCAACTCACTTTTTTATATTGGATTTGGATTTTGTGTAATTCTTGAGTTTTAGTCATTTTTTAAAATATCTTGTTCTACTATTTTATTATCTAACATCATCTCATGTCATCTGACTCAAATTTCAAAATAAAATTATTCGAACAACTTAATATAACTAATGACATGATAGGTGATAATAATAAAAAAAATGGATGATTGAGATTTCTATGGTAAATTTTAAGTTACTAAAAATTGAACTAGTTTTTAAATTGGTTAGACGCTGGTTAAAAGATTGATAATTAAAATTGTAGCTAAACTAGTGATAAACATAATATTTTATTGACCTGATTAAAATATTAGTTCAACAATTTATTGATTTAAACGGTCGAGTTTACTCGATTTTTAATGCCATGCTCTTTTGTATTGGATTTGAATTCCTTGCAATTGATCTTGAATATTATAGTCTATCTCTATCGACAAGAGCTTGATCTTTTGCTTTAATATGTAATTATTTGACATCATACTATGTCATTTGATTCATATGTTAAAATATACTTGTTTCACTTTATAAAGCTGATCATATGATATAATCATAGGTGATAGATGAAAATTAGACAATTAATTTTTTTTGACATAATTGGGCTGAGAATTAACCCCACATGGATAAACTAAATTCATATCCTTTGATCTATTTTTATATAATTAATAACTATCAGGGTTAGGGTAATATCCAGCCACATTTGAGAATATATCTAGCCTAATTGGATATACACCTTTTGTATTATCTTAATGCATTTAAGATTATAAATCTGAATTTTTATTTAAAAAATGATCAAAAATTATTACTTCAGCATTTTTTTGAAAGTGTTATATTAAAAAAATATAAGATATTTTTAATCTTTCAAGGTGCAACTAGAAAGATTTTTTTAATTAAGACTGCCTATTAAATAAAGATAAACATAAAAAGAATGTGTAATTTTAAAAATAATTAATTAATTCTTTGGAGATATAATTTGATTAAAGATACCTCATATTACTAAACAATAAGAGTACTTGTAAGAACGAAATTCTCACAAGCGACCCATTCGCATGAGTATTACTAGCGACTCTTAATTTTTTTTTTTTAAGATTTTATGTCTTAGCTATTTTTTATCTCGATGCATGATGTAATATGTTAGCTATGTTATATTAATTGTATCTAATTAAGTTATTTAGACTGATTTAGAAAAACGTTATAAGACCTGTATCAAATATTAAAAAAAATCATCTTATTGATTAAATATGTGCACATACATGCATACATACATACATACATACATGCATACATACATACATACATACATACATACATACATACATACATACATACATACATACATATATATATATATATATATATATAATTATGTATTTCATTTTCTAATTATTCATGTCTGATTATCCTAGTAGATTCCTGTGTGGTAATAAATTAATATGATGCTAAGTTTCTAACGGCCATTACGAGGGGGAAAAAAAATCTATGGAAGAGCTTTCCCTGATTAAGTCTAATAATATTTGAATCTAACGTATAGTAGTATTGGATATGTAGTAGTAATATAAAAAAATTAATTTAATTGATCATGAAATTAATTAATGTGTTATAATTTTTCTTATTGAATTACTGGGTTACAAGTTAATTAATTATCTCGGTATGAAACAATAATCCTAAATATATTCTTGAAAGTTAAATTTAAAAAGTCATATACAATTAATTGACTAAGTAATTTTTGGATCCCAATTGAATAACTAATTAATAACAATAAGTAAATAACTTTCAACCATGATGAACGCGGTTTGAACTATTGATTTATGGAATTGGAAGTAATCAATTAGGTTTACTGTAGGTGAAAAAACTCGGTTACCTTTAAATAAATTGAAAGTTCAAATCTCGTGAATAAAAAAAAATTATATCAAGATTGTTACTTTCAATTAAATCTGATAATTATTTTTTTTTAAAAAATCCAACTTAGTACAAGAAGTAAACTACAAAACTGGTCCTCCAATAAGAGCATAGATATATAAGGAACAAAACCTTGTGCCATCCATGTGATTTATGTCCATTATTTTTAAGACACAACTTATATAATAATGAAAAAATTGAAATTTCTGATAAATTATTGATTCAAACAAATAAATGTCAACTCCTTTTTTTTATTCTGGTTGAAATAAAAGTTATTTATGATGAGTTTCCTAGAGGCTTACTTAAAGACTAGCGCACTTTTTATGGTTCAAAGATAATTTAGATAAATACATATAAATTATTTGTGTGTAAAAGATGAAATGGACTTTTAACCTTATTTTTTGTGTAATTACTTTTAAAAACAATGCAATTTAGCTCTTATTGTAAACAAAAGTTAAATTTGACTATTAGTTAAAAAAATAATAAAAAATAACCTTAAAAATTATAAAAAATGACCAAAAAATTATAGAAAATAATTAATAAAATTTTATTGGCCATTTTCTATAATTTTTAAAGTTCTTTTTCAGTCAACTAACTATCAAAATTAACTTTTATCAATAATAGGAGATAGATTGTACCATTTTCAATAGTTAAAGAAAAATATTGTATAAAAAATAAGTTTAAGATCACAAAACTGATTTTGAATATATTGTTTAAGGGTTAATTTGCCTTTTTACTGATTATGTATGAGCAAGATTTTGTGACACTTAAACGCACGCCTTTGTAAGGTATATATAGAACCGATCCTGCTTTTTCGATATCAATCTTTGGTGGTTGGTGATCATCAACTCTGTAAAGAGACCCCCCCCTCCTCAGTTTTTATTGAATAAACTTTTGAATTTAAGTTTGAAAAAATTGATATGTAGATCCATATAGTTCTGTCTCAATGTTAAATTAAATCTCTGTAGTTTATTTTGTTTTATTCGAGCTCTTATAATTTGATTAATTAAATATATTAATTAATTCTTAAATGTTAAGATCCTTGAATTTTTACTTTTAGAAAAAAATCCCATGAATAAAATTGACACCACATCTTAACAAGAAAATTAAGGCTGGAGAGAGAGAGTGTGTGTGTGAATCTTTCACTCTATATGTATATGTGTGTTAATTTTATTGAACTCAATTTTATATAATAAAAAAAATTTTCGCATTAAATCAAACTCACTACTAACACTTGACATAATCTAACGAGAAAGCATTTTTAATTTTTATTTATGTATAAATACATTGTATACGCAAATATTTCAAACAAACATTACTTTCATAGAAAAAGTACATTAAGAAATATAGGATAATTAAACTTTTAGTCTCTTAAGTTTGTCTTATTTATTAATTTGGTCACTTAAATTTAATTTTTATCAATTTGATCTACTCCCTCTAGTCCTATTTATAAATCACTTCCAGCATATTTTATTAAAACTAAGAAAAATATTAAACCTCATTAATTTTGTATTAAAATTTAATAAATTTTTACCTTTACCCCCAATAAATATTTTTAAATCTTATTATTAATATTTTTATTCAAAACATTTAATAAAAAAAATGTAAAGACGAGTATTGAGAATGGATAAGTGTCATATAAATAGGATCAAATTTTTACCTTGAATTTTTACTTCCAGCATATAATTTTTTTGTTTAGATATTTGGGAGCCATTGTTCAAAATGATAGCGAAATCAGTGGAGATATTTCACATAGAATTCAAGTTGGGTGGTTTAATTGGAGAAAAGCTAAAGGAGTTATTTGCGACCATAAGGTGCCTAATAAACTTAAAGAAAAGTTTTATCGCACTGCTATCAGACTGGCAATGTTATATAGTAGTGAATGCTGGGCTCTAACGGGACAGCAAGAGCATAAAGTTGGAGTAGCAGAGATGAGAATGTTACGATGGATGTACGGACATACACGTAAAGATAAAATTCGAAATGAGCACATACGCGAAAAAGTGAGGGTGGCACCTATTGAGGAAAAAATGGTAGAAAATCGGTTGAGATGGTTTGGGCATGTACAAAGAAGACCAAGGGAGGCACCAGTGAGAAGAGTGGAACATATAACTTTGAGTCCGATTAAGAGAGGTAGAGGAAGGCCTAAGAGAACACTCTTGAAAGTTGTTGAACGCGATCTCTTAATTAATGATATTCCTAAAAGCTTGATAAATGATAGAGCACAATGACGTCTTGCAATCTATGTAGCCGACCCCACCTAGTGGGATAAAGGCTTGTTATTGTTGTTGTTGTTGTCTCTACCTTATGTATAGGATCGGAGGAGTATTGTGTTTTCTTAAATTATCGTGTGAGTGCTTTAAGTTTTATATACAATATAAATTGACTCTCAAAATAATTTATATATAAAGCATATTAATATTTTGATATATATATATATATACATATATGTAGTCAAATAAGAACAAATAAAGCCTCAAATAAGTTTAATTTTTATCAATTTAATTCTTTATGATATGTTTTGTTCTCTTGTGTTTTTTAAAATTTAAAGTCTATTTTTTTCCACCTAAATAATTATACTCCTTTTCATTAATATATATGATTGCCATCAATATTTTATTATTTAAGTTAAAAAATTTTAACCATGTAAATTTAAGAGACAAAGTGATAAAAATTAAATTCAAAGGATCAAATCAATAATTAAGATAAATTTAAGGGATTAAAATTTGCAAAAAAAAAAAAAAGTTCACCCAATTACTTGTAAGGTTAGTTGTTCAATGCACTCAAGATCAACGTTCCATGAACTTCCACGTTTCAACTTTCCATTGGTTCCCAGGTTGATTTGACATAGGCATGCAGCCACCCCACAAACACAAGCTCCAGTGAGTCATATTATTGGTCTCTCTCTCCTCTCACTCTCTCTCATGGATCATCCATTATTATAAAGCCAGACCAAGCACCATTATAATAGAGGAAGAGGACATAAGAACCAGAAGCAGAGAGAGAGAGAGAATTAGCAAAGAAAGAAACACCTTCACGCGGAGAGAGAATTCAAGAGAGATTGTTGATAAAGCTTCTTTCTCTGTGAGCCAAAAAAAAAAAATGGCAAGTTTGAATCTGAAGGAGACAGAGCTGTGTCTGGGATTACCGGGCGGCGGCGGCGGCGGTGCTGATGGCTGCGAGGCTGAAACCGCCACTCCGAAGGCCTCATCAGGAAACAAGAGAGCCTTCTCTGCAACTGTTAATCTCAAGCTCAACCTCGTCGATGATTCCAAGGTTGTCGACGGTGAGGAACAAGATCTCATGAATCAGAACCTCAACAACACTATCACCTCCAAGAAGGACCCCACTAAGCCACCTGCTAAGTAAGTCTTTTCTATTTCATCTCCAAAATATACACAAAATGTGTTCTTAGTCGAATAAGGCCGAAGGACATGAACAGTTTATGAATTTTTTTTATTATACATTACTTATTAGGTCTAATTTTATACAATATAAAACATCATTCCCACATTATCGACTTAAATTTACCTACACTTGAATAACATTACCTAACATATATGTATATATACATTTTCTCTAACCCAACTGTTATATGATTTATGAATAGTACAGCTTATTATAGATTTTATTATATATATTGTTACTGATTGGTGTATTAATATGTTTAGGGCACAAGTGGTGGGTTGGCCACCAGTGAGGTCATACAGGAAGAACTTGATGACACAAAAGGAGAGCAGTGAAGATGGAAATACCGATAAGAAGAAGGCGGCGGCGGTGCCGACTTCAACTCCGGTGATGACCGGAGGATCATTTGTGAAGGTGTGTATGGATGGTGCACCCTACCTTAGGAAGGTGGACTTGAAGATGTACCAAAGCTATCAACAACTTTCTGATGCCTTGGCCAAAATGTTCAGCTCCTTCACTACCATGGGTAAAATTTTAGTTATCCAATGTAATTACTTAATTCAGATGCCATGCAAATATTATAACCTACTGAATTATGACTTACATATAAATAATTCATCAACTGATAAAAAAAAAGGATATGATGTCAGAAATGTTCATAATAGTAATTTCTTGCTTAGGTTGCCTTGTATTTTGAGATCCCTATATTAACTATGTGATTGTATTATTATTACTATTATTATTGTGCAGGAAAATATGAGGGGGCCCAAGGTATGATAGACTTCATGAATGAGAGCAAGTTGATGGATCTGCTGAACAGTTCTGAATATGTGCCAACTTATGAAGATAAGGATGGTGATTGGATGCTTGTTGGAGATGTCCCTTGGGTGTAAGTTAATTCTATTAATTCTTCTTTCTAAATTTTATTTATTTTTTATTTTATTTAATAATCAATTATTGATTTATTACAAGTCTAAATATTCTCCAACTTTACAAAATTTACGGCATATAACAACATAGGAGTGAAAATTGTAAGATTTATTGGAAACAATATTGGGTTATATTACCTTGCAATTTCTCTCTCATATTATAATTTATTTTCAAGAACTACTTTGCCTACTTTTATAAAATTTTCCATAGAAAAATATATCTTCCTGTTCATACTTAATAATAAGGGGAAAATTTTCATCTAAAGAACAAAATTTTAGTTTTTATAATTAAGCCTAGGAGACTTATACTTGATATTTAATTAAATAATAAAGTTATTAAAAAATTACACAAAATTTAGTTTTCTACTTTTATTCAATAATTTTTTTTTTGAAAAATAGATATATAGCATTTCTCATAAAATTTAGTATTAGCTTTCAAATTATAAATAATTGCAGTTTTAAAACTCAATAACCTAACCTTTTAAAGAGTTGTGGATATAACTTCTCTTAGAAGCTTGTAAGAACTTTGATAGAGTACAAGCTAGTGAACAATATGGGGAGAAGCTTAAACTATAAATCTACACATCACATTTATATTTTCCATATATATCAGTATAAGCTATAAAATTTACAATAAATCATACTATATATTCATAAATTATAAATTGCATGATTTATTTTTCAGATATTCTATATATGATTAATTAGCATAAACATACATAACCTTTAGCCAGGTTTATCAAACCCCATGAATTTACTAACCCTTATATCATCTTAATCTCTTGAAGGATGTTCGTTGATTCATGCAAGCGTCTTCGAATAATGAAAGGTTCAGAAGCCATTGGATTGGGTATATAATTAGACATTTTGAATCTTCAATTTTGTCATACAAAATATTATTATATATTGGCCACTAATAATCACTTTTGTATTGTTATTTTTAATTCAGCTCAAAAGTAAATTAAATAATCACTTTTTTAACACAAACTTTATTATCTTTCTCTGCTTTCAGCCCCAAGAGCCATGGAAAAATGCAAAAGCAGAAGCTGAATAATATTTTAAGAAAGTCTCATACAACAGGAGAACTTATGCATTAAATATTATAAGAAATATTCACGAAGAAGAAGAAGAGGAACTTAATTGCTGGTGAAGCAGCCTGATGATGATGAATCAGAAGAGTCTGATGGATGTTTGTTTAGAGTTTGGATTATGTGTCTGTGTTATTTTTATTTTTGTGTTATATAAATAGATAATTATTATATATTCAACTTTTAAGAAGCAAAATCCAATTACTTTATCATCTCTATGTCTATATATATAGTTTGGCTTGTTTGTTTATTTATATTTATATTATTACTTTACTAATGTCTTTAATTTGCTTGGCTATCTCTTTTCTGTTATGCTTCCTAATATGTAATCCCTCCTTGCTGGCATGCTTGTTGTTGCTAATTTTAATGCATTTTCTTAATATTATTCCCAGATTCATCAGATTCCTCCTATATATATATATATATATATATATAATTTAATTAATTAAATTTATATTTAAGACTATACATGTGTGTGTGAGCAGTACTGTGAGGAAAGCATTAAAGTTTTAAATGGTCCAAAGGCAGAGGGAGGGAACAGCCCATGTGCATGTTGATGAGGTTTCGCTTATGGCCATATTAGTTTTATAGTACCTTGTCTATTACCTTTTTTTTTTTTTTGGGGGGGTATAAAGTATAATCAAATTAATAGTATATTGATGATTGGTGAATATGTAGAGTTGGTGAGTGCATGTGATTTCAATAATTCTATCTATAATGAAGGGCTATGAGTAGTAGCACTTGCAAGCTGCCTTATGTATTTAAGAAATTAAATTAATAATTTTTTTAAAATTAATTGTTTTCATGGATTTTTACTTTACAAATGATATATCTTTTGAAATAATAAAATTTTTTCTTTGGGCTAAGTCACATAGAAGTATTGAAAGAAAAATTACAATTTTACTTATTATTGTTAAAATTTAGTGAGTATTTATCAATTTTTTGTTTATATAAATAATTAAACATTATCTCTTTTTGTCAAAAATTAAATAAATAATAAAAATGTAGACAATAAAATGAAATTTCCTCAGATATGTGACACAAAAAATTTAAAAAGTAACATGAATAATGGATAAACTAAAATTTATTTAGGTTAGAAAGAATTAATTAGAATTTTTTAACATTAAGTACCAAATTTAATTGAGTAAAACTTACAGGGATAAAAAATTTAATTTTTTTTATTATTGAATGTTATATATGCATGTATTCATTTTATAAATTGGTTGAATAAAATTAATTAAATCGGTAGGTGGGATCGTACTAGTATATAATTTATGGGCCCAAAATACTACAACTATAATTTTTAGGTCAATATAAATGCTCGCATTGCATAAAGGATTTCTTGGATCTGACATTATGACAGCCTTATGTCCTACATCTTAAGGAAAATACCTATTATTTTAAGGGATTTGCTATTTATATTAACATATAAGAAAAGGGTTTGAGACCACAAAAGAATATTCAAATATTATTCAGTGACAGATGACAGGTCCAATGTCTCCACGAAGGTTCTGAGCAATTGGTCATATGAAATGTTTAAATGCTAGCATGAAAAATAATTCAAGAAAAAATATATTTCTTTCTTTCTCTCTTCTTTTCATGGTTTACAGGCATTTTTTTTGTGTGGGGTGGGGGTAGTACATGTTCGAAATATAATTAAATATTAAATATAATTATTTTTTGTAGTAAGAATTTGAATGAGTTTGTCACATTGTGAAAAATTAATTTATTTTATTAAACCTAATCGTTGTTGATAGAAAAATAGATTTTTTTTTTTTTTGCATTGCTCATTGACATCTTTCTTTTAAAAGTAATCTTGTTTGAAATACGATTAAATATTAAATATAAATATTTTTTTAACAAAAATTCAAACAAAAGATTGCCATATTGTGAGGAACTAATTTTTTTTGCTAGACCTAACAAAATACAGGTTTCTATCAAAAATAATTTGTGAAAACTTGTGGACGTAATTATATACACGCTTTTTTTTAATTATTGTTGTCGTTTGTTAAGAATTTGGATCTTCTAATGTCAAAAATTGGGCGGTTTCCTCCTATCTAAAATATGGGTATGATGTAACAATGATGATTAATTAAATAAGGTTCATGGTAAAAATCTTATTAAGAGGAGTTATTCCTGATCAGACAGACAGACATGACGATATTTGAATTTGACAGTTAAATAAGGGGTTTGATCCGTTAATATTCCTTAATATTTTCTGTGCCAAAATAATTATTGATATTTGTATAAAAAATAATTATAGATATAAATTAATTATATAAATATCTTATGTTTAACATCTATAATTAAAATTTTTAATAAATAGGAAAACTATTTTTTATAAGTAATAATTTAGAACAACTATGATTATTTAATTCATATAATTTTGATTCAACTATAACTTAATTTTTAAATTTTAACTCATTGTAATTTAATTCTTATAATTTTAACTTAATTTTTAAACTTTGACCGTTGCAACTCATAATTTTAACTATTTAAAATATTAATTATTATATTTTAAATAATAAAGTTATATAGATTAAAACTGTTTTAAAATTTAATCTTTATAAGAATTAAAAAGGTGTAGTAACTTCAAATATTAGTAATAAATTTTAATATAGTTTTAATATTTATAATCTTATTTTTTACAATATAAGAACCAATAAATAGCTAAAACAATAATGATTGAGTTTCAAGAGTTAAAATTTAAGAATTAAATTACAATCAAATTAAAATTATAAAAACTGACCTATGACAAGTCAAAATTTATGAACTAAATTGCAACATGATTAAAATTAAAAAAATTAAATGATTAATTTTATCATAATTAAATAGCAAAAAATTGTTAATGTCTATTTAATGCCTTAAAATACTCAAATGTAAGTACTTGCACAAGGGAAAATTAAATAACTATTATTTATGGTTGGCAGCTAATAAAGTTAGATGTGATGTTGGGCCACTTCTATCGTTGCCACGCAAGGAATACATAATAATTTTCTGGCAAAAAAAAAAAAAAGCAAAGGAATACATAATAAATTGCACGAGCATGATTAATTTTTTAAAATTCATAATTTTAGAATTATTAAGCCTTGTGGCCCAACACAACTCTCGAATTAATCATGATTGGTTCAGAGTAAGAAAGATTAGGCGCCAAAACATTAAGCCCACGTTACCACATGATTGACTGGGCCCAAACCCAATTGGGAGGGACAAATCATTAAACACAATTTCTGAGTTCACTGCCTGGGATACTCTTGTTGAATCAACGATCCAAGCACAGATGTGCAGTTAAACCAAACTTGCATTAATTTTTAATGCATAATTCCAGCCTCATATTCCTTTCAATCTTATTTATAAATCATTTTCATCATTTTTTATTGAAATAAAAAAAAAACCTTAAAACTCATTAAATCTATCTAAAAATTCAACTAGTTTTCAATTACATCCCTATTAAATATATATTAAAAATAAAATACTCCAATATTTAATAACCTTTCTAGCATTTAATAAAGATAAAAAAGTACATATGAACATGAAAATCATAAAAATGTCCAATAAATATGACTAGAGGAGTTAGTCTATTCATCAAGATATTACAGAAGCTCAATGCAAGGAGAAGAGGGGGGGGGGGTGTGTGTGTGTGTGTTTTTTTTTTTTTTTTTAAATTTAGACAAGAAGTATTCTTCGCCAATAAAAGATAGGCCATTTCTAAGTTTATTCAAAAGAGTTAGAAATGGAAATCCAAACCACTTGGATCGCTTTCACTGCTCACCACCTAATTGGAAGCAAGCAAAAACCCTATCTCATACAGACATGTGAATTTCAACACAAACCTATGCAGCACATGTATATATTATTAGCATAAGGTGGAAAAGGTGACTCCCAAAAATAAGACAGTGCCTACTTAAAAAACCACTGAATTGATCCTTAAAAGCAGCTAAACAACCAAACGGTTCAGTGTCCCAATAAACAGAAAACAAAAAGAAAGATGCCTGTTCACAGTAATTTTGTGGCAACACATTTTGATTACATGCCCAAATAGGAATCTAAATTATAACTACAGAAAATCATAGCATAAGAGAATGCAATTTGCACTTGCAGTAAGGAATTCATAAGAAAATATTTGAGGAACAATTCCACGCTCACTACCATAAAAATAAAAAAGTTTCCAATGTAAAAAAATGACCATTTATCACATTAATAACGTAGGAATGACATCATACAACAAGCAAATAGCATGAAACAATGCAAGACAGTAAGGTAGCACGTTCAACAATCTATAACTTAGCAATCTAAAGCTAGGTTATGTGGTAACAGTTGGATGAGTTGTGTGGTGATCTAGAATTTATACTTGATGCAAACAAAAAGCGGGGAAAAATCAACAGCTTTAACAGTCTAGGGCTCTAGGCCATGATGTGTACTAGCAGGGATCCTGTGTGTGGAATGCAGTTTTGAATTGGTAACTCACATTTCCAAAAAACAAAAAAATACATGTTTTGCAACATGCAAATTATTATTAACATCTATGATTCATCCACCGTCATGGAAGAAATGAAACAGTAAGTAAGCCTCTTCATTATTGCAATCCATAAACTAAAATATATCCCTTTTGATCACTAAAAATAACTTAGCGGAAGCTTAACTACATGAAACGACTTTTGCAACTTCTACATATCAGAGATATAGGACCCTCGTTTTGTAACATACACATGTTTGATAAAGGAATACGATATTCATTTTTATCTGAATACCTTTCCTGCATTGTTAAGCCTTTAAACAAGTAGGACTTACATGCTGAAGCAAACTACCCAACCAAAAAAAAAAAAAAAAAAAGCCAATTGATAAGCAGAAAATCTCAGGACATAATGCATTTATCAGACCAGAATCAACAGTTTTGATTAACTAGTTTTCCGAACAACAACTATCCCACAATATACAGATTCAGTCGCACTGATGAGTCCTACAAGGACAAACTTCCAGTAATAAATTAAAAAATTTCAATTATGAAAGCAATGAACTATAGTATTAATCAGGGATTACTTGGAAGGACATTATAATACAAGCAAATAGTGTCAAAGAACACCGAAGGTTGAAGCAATGTGCTATTGTAACAATCGATGAGTATATTTGGTCAGGACAATTATATGAACATTGACATGACAAATGTAGTAAAACAAAGGGAATACAGAATTAATAATTCACATGTCTATGATTCTGTCAGCATTAGAGAACATGTAAGAAAATAAATGTTTGACTGATTCTTGATCTACCTGCTGCTGATTCTCCTTAAGACCGAAATTATTCACAGCCTAAGCATGCCAGATAATGGATGCTGAAGTGAACAGAGCATTTTCTTCATCATGCATTCTTCAATTCATTGTGTAAGTCAACGTTAGATTATATCGACCAGACTGAATAAATAAATTACATATTTATGGTCAGTAATTAATATTTAAGACTAAATATCACAGATACAGGACTCTCAGTCTGTAGGAAAAATGTGCTTAACAGTCATTCTTTTCTATGTATTTTCCAGCAAAACTAGAATTAAATTAGTAAATCTTTGTAAACCTTTTTCTATACATTTAAGCATTTGTAACCCAGTTCTCGATTGTCTTGGTGAAGAAAGAGAGTCTGGTATCTCAATCCCCCCTGTCTGTTCTTTAGCTTTATAGTTTTGGGCTAAGTCCCTCCTTTGGATCAAGGGGAAAAGATGTAAATCTTTGCAATTTAATAATGATTTGCCAAAATAAGGCATAATAGTTAAGAACTCGAGATGAAAAGGATATCAAACAATGATATGCCAAAGTAAACAAATAAAAAGCCATCAATAAACAGAGAGATAAAAAGAAAATCAGGAAATTGTGTCCTTATCAAACCAGACTATCAGATTTAAGAGTTTTCCAAATACCAATAATCCCACCAACGGATTTCCAATCATAAGATGTAGCCCCATAAATGCCCATTTTACACATTCACCAACACTAATATGTTCCCTATAAAAGAAAATGACAGGGCACAGAAGAAGAATAAATGTCGGAAGGTACCAAATCTATCTAAATCGGCTAAATAGAATAGTATCAATCTACATTTGAAGAACCGGAATCCAAATCAAATTGATAATCTTGTGACTTTACAGAACAAAGACTGAAAAACAAAAAGCTACAGAAGACTGTACCTTCCACTTCTTTGATCAATTAACAATTCAAGAAACTCAATTATACAGGGACATAAGGTCCAGCTGTACCACCAGAAAGCATAGGTCCATACGGGGATTCTTGATCATCCATAACAAGATCTTCAGTACCTCTAAAAGCCGCGTGCAGACAGACAAGCCCCACCCCAATCACTATCGATAGCAGTACATTAAGCCACACATGAGTCAGAATCAAAGCCACGACAGTGATTATACCGAGCCCCACGACCACGACTCGATCGTCCAACACTACCCAATTGAAGATACTGACAGGCTCCTCGCGCGAGAAGTAGAGGAAATACCATCCGGCGAAAACAATCAAGAAGATAATCATATAAAAAGGGTGGTAGATGAGGCTGAGGAAGAGAATGATAAGAACGATGAGGGCATAGTTGGAGAAAAAATGGGAAACGTTTTGGGCTATTCGGGTGGTAGCATCGGAGATAGAAGAAGGGAAGCTGAGAGCCGAGAGGTCGAGGAGCTGACGCCATGGACGACGAGAAGCCATGACGGATTGGCTCGTTTCTTTGAAGTTGGAGAATAATTCAGTGGTGGAGGACATTGGGGACAAAGTGAAAATGAGAAATAGGGTTTGATTGAAGAAAGAGAAAGGAGGAGGAGGAGGAGGAAGAAGAATGAGAGAGGATTGAGGAAGATAGGGTTTGGGGCGAAGAAGGGTTCTTTGGACTTGTCAACGGAGACTGTTTTGGAGACGACGAGCAGTACAACTGCCGCCCCTCGCAGCGTTTGGAACGAAGTTTCGGAGCAATCCTTTTCTCGCTCTTTTTTTTTTTTTTTGGCAAAATAAGTAAATAACACAAATGCCTTTTTTTTTAATTCAGGGAAAATGACAATAAATCGCATCTGTTTAAATATCATAATTTTTAAAATTTTTTAAGTATCTTTCTTACATAAATAATTTTATATTAAATGATTAAATCATACTTTATTTAAAATAAAAATAATAAATTTAGCTCCATTTTTTATCACAATTTTTATTTAAATAATTATAACTTTTGATCTATAAATTATAAAGATTAAACAAAAAATATAATTTTTTATGTGAAATTTTTTTTTTGATTGATAAAAATTTTTTGAAAATATTTAGTTTTAATCATAATTTTTATTTTAACAATCACAACTTTAATTCTATAAATTGTAAAAATTGAATAAAAATTATAATTTTTCATATAAAATTTATTTTATTATTAAATTTTAAAAATAACCATTCACAAATTTTATATAAGCAATCACAATTTTTACTATGTGAGTCATAAAAATTGAATAAAAAATTATAACTTTATGTGAAATTTTTTTTATCATTAAAACTTAAGTTTTGAAGATAACCTGATAGAAATAAGAAAAAAAATTTAAATAAAATATCAAACTAATTTTTAAATTATTAAGCTAATCAATTTAGAACAATCAAGGAATATGTAATTATCCATGCAATTATTCATGTGATCCTTTTATATTTTTGGGTCATTGGTTGACCTTGTTAAGGTTGTTGGACATGCTGACATGTAGGACTCATACTTTATCATAACTAGTTATAACTTTTATTTAAATAATCATAATTTTTATTGTATGAATTATAAAAATTAAATAGAAAATCATAATTTTCTATATAAACCTATTATTATTTTTTAAACAATGGGCGATTGTATCATTTAATCTAAAATTATTAACGTCAAAAAAGTACCTAGAGACTTTAAAAGAAATATGACATTTCAAAAGACCTGATTGTCATTTATCTACTTTGGTGAGATTTTATTATCATTTTTTTATTGTAATGTTTGGGCACAAAATATTAATACTTCTCTCAATGAGACTTGATACTAACTCAAGTTAATTGTGATTTGTGTAACACCTTAAATTGTAAATATCTTTTTCACAACAAATTCAAATGAAACAATATTTCTTCAACAATATCTTATTTTTCAAAAAAAAAAAATATTTTAAACAAAGCAACTGAAATTTTAATAATAATCAACACTTGGACTTAGGACATATGAAGCCCAACTAATAATCCAAGACAAGCTCAAAAAACAAAAAAGTATACTCATCAATTATTTAAATTAATTGAGTTATACAAATCAATCCTAGGTCATGGTAACAAAAAACATGAAACAAAAATATATGCCAAATGTAATAACCTTAGAATTTTAAGTTAAAATAATAATAATAAATAAATAAAATAATAATGATAAATTAAATCTATAATAATTTTTTTGAGTGTATTTTATTAATGTTTGGAATAATTATAATAAGAAGAAGTGTTGTTGTAGTGAAAGTGTATAAATAATGTAATAATCTTGGAGTTTAAACTAAGATTAAAATTTATGATTTAGTATTTGATTATATTTTAATAATTTTTGGAACAAATAAATCAAGTGGGAATGTTGGTTTTGTGCAAATTATGGTAAAAAAAATTAATTTAATCCATTAGGTCCTTTAAAAAAAAACACACACACACACATATTACAATATCAATAATAAAAATCTGATAGGGTTTTTTTGTAAATTTTCCAACAAGTTTGGGTCTTGTGTTGTAATTTTTCCCATGGTCTTTTTATTTAAATTCTTCTTCCTCTCAGTCGGTGATACACGCAGAAAGAGTGAGGGATGGCTCATAATTCTTCCTCTGTTTTTTTCTCTTCCCTTCCCATTGCACCGACTTCAATCTTGCTGTTAGTATGATTTTCTCCACTGCCAGAAATTTATTCATTCCTTTAACCTCCGTTGGTCATTCGTTTCTGTCAAGTGTGTAGCTCAGTCTCTTCTTTATTGCGTGCTGACAGAGGTGCTGTATGTTCATCTCTTCCATTTTCTCCTCCTTTTCCCAGTGGCACCGCCTTTTTGTTCTTGCCATTGATTTTCTTTTTTTTTTTTTTCATTCAACTGGGCATCATCTATTCCTCGCCGTCACGTCCCGCCGTTGGGAGTATTGCTGTCACCAGAATCCTTTCTCTGCCGCTGCCCCTGTTTCGATCTGATCTTCCTGCTTCATCGATGGTGTTCTTTTCTACTTCATCATCGCACGCTGAAGCTCCTCCTCCTCACCTTCTTCAATGTCGAGCTCTCTCTCTGGTCCTTGTCGTTGAAGTTCCTCCTCCTCACATTCTGTTGCCGTCGACTGGAGCAGTCCTAGCCATCGCGTTTGACTGCTGGAGGTGTTGAAGTTGTTGCTTCTTCCACCGTTATTTGCTGCCCTTTCCAGGTTTGTGTGGGTATTTGTTTAGTCTTTATTTTCCTTTTCCCCTTATCTGTTAAGTCTTGTACATGTGATAGACTTGTTTCTGCTCCTCTGTCACTGTTATTGGTCATGTGTGCTTGAAGTTAAAACTGTGTAAAATTTAGACCAACCATCTTTTCCCTCCTTTGATCATCATCAAAGCAAATCTGGCGTTATTAAGAGTATGGCTGCCATGGGACTTTGAGTTAAATGAATTGTTATTTTTTTCATTGTTTGGTGGTGTGCCAAAGTCTTCTCCGTTCCATATTATGGCTGTCACGATTTTTAGGGAATTGAGGTGCATTTTAGTTAATTCTGTGTGTGTTTTATTTTGATGTTAAGCTAAATATGGATGATAGAATTAAGGTTGGAAATTGATTTAATTGTTAGAGGCTTAATGTGAACTAAATTTAGGTGCTATTTTGGACAATATTAGATGTTATTTTAGAAATATTGAGTAAAAAAAATTGAAGGAGAAATTAGATGTTGAAAATTGTTAAATTTACTTGGATGCTTGCCTTATGAGTTAATTAATAGTAAAGGTTCTCATGGTGCTTGTAAATATGCTTGAAAAATTTGTTAGTGAAAATAAGATTGTTAAATTTTTATAGTAGAATTTAAAGGAATTATAAATATTTCTTGAGGGAGTGAATGTCTTTACATGCAAGTTGTAGAGTTGAAATACTTATTGAAATCATGTAGCTTTTAAAGGAAAATTATTAGACTATATGATAATTAAGAGTCTTGACAAGTCTGGAATAAGCTATATTAATGGTTGAAATTAAATGATGTTCATGTTGTTGAACTAATTGAAAAGAGTTATTTGAGTGTTCAATGAGAGTTTAAGAGGTTAATGAAAAATTTAAAGGATTATTGAAGATTTTGAATATTTTGCTCATTTATTATAAGAAAGAAAATTCATAATGACATGAGGATTATTGAATTATGTGTTAGATTATTTGGAGCATCGCTGAAGTAAGTAAGAATTTTAGGGGGGTCATGCTTTAGAATTCTTGAAAACTTTTATATGAGTGGGTGGCGTTCTGAATATTTTTTCCAGTAAAGTGTTTATAAAAAATTATTTATTTAAATATTGTTATTATGGCTGTATAAATTGTTTACATATTCTTGTTAATTTGATTTCCACATTAATGGTATTATTTCAATGATTTGTGTATGGAGGATGTGATGATAATTTTGGCTGAGCAATGAAAAATAATAGTTGAATACTATTTGAAAGTGAGAATTTTGAAACTATTTTTCTTTCTTTATACACACTTAATTTTAATGAGTGGGACTGAGTTCATAATGCTGGATACTAATGGTAGTTCTATTAGTCCTTGGTACGCTATGGTATACATAGCTAACAGGGTATTTATGGGAGGTCTTAGCTCTATGTGAAGGCCAACGCACATGGATTGGAGGGATAGTAATTCATGAGCATTGTACTCGCCCTTGTTTTCATAGGCCTTGTGCCTTGATTCGTGGCTCCTACTATGCTTGTTTCATGGTTTTTAGTCTTGCTTAATTAGTTACTTACCCTTATAGACTGTGTGTCCACGCTTGATTGGTTATTTACCCTCATGGATTGTATATTCATGCTTGTTATACGTTCTGATAAAGCCCTCCCCAATTTAAAGTAAAATTTACCATTTTTATATCAATTCTCTAAAAGCATTCTACCTAATTATATCATTATTTGAAATTTTTAGATTCTATAAGCAGTACAAAGTTTGATAAATTTACATTGTTTTGTTAGCATTATTTAATTTCATGATTGTATTATTGAGAAAATTTATTTTTTTATTATTGGTTTAAATATATGCTTCATTTTTCCATTTAATCATTTTAAACTAAAATTATTAGTTACTATCTTCATAATTTTTTTAAATTAAAATTTTAATTGGAACGCTACTCATCAAAAATTTTTGGTTTCAGATATTGTAGTGGACCCTAAGCCTCCTACAGATCTTTAAGAGGTCTCACTTTTTCTCTTGGAAGGAGGAAGCACACTACAATTATCTCTTTTAGTGATAAAATGTATATTATATGATTGTAACTTAGTGTTCCACATATACCGTAACTAGGTTCTAATTTTATTTTGTTGGTATGCAATTTCCTAGATTGGTTGATAGATTTTTGTATTTTAGAAATTTCAAGGGGTTCAATTTTCAATGTAGATTTTGCTGAAATTTTTACAAAATGTTTAAAATTTTACAAAACTCGTTATTATATATAACTTAAATATTGATATTTTAGCTTAACCCTTGGCTGATCAAGGCTTATGGAATATGTGGTTATTTCATATTTTATGCCAATCATACCTTTAATATTGGGGTGTGACACCAAAATGAGAGATAAGAAGCTAATAGTTCACTTCTTTAGTGCCTTCTTGATAATACTATCGGACAACTCACCTAAAAATAATAAGAGATAACATGTGAGATTTAATGTTTCAGTAACAATTAATTATTCTAACATATACCAACATATCAATCAAGAATTAGTTCACAAATCATCTTTAGATACATATACTTACATTTTCACAATTCTTTCGCAATCTATTTCTAAAACAAGAAAATGCTAGCTTTTCATAATAAAAAATAGTTTCACAACAATCAACAATTAAATCAAGTGATATTTATTTTGAGCACACCCTTGTATCTCATCCTTTAGCACTTTATTATTGCTAGTTAGAGCCTAAACTATGGGTACAGTCAGTCAAAAGTATATTGTCAATAGAGTAGAACTCCCTTCCTTGAAAAAAGTGTCCATTATCTCGATACCTAAATCAAGGTGATAGGGAATTACAAAAAAAGCTAACCACTAAGTACTTAGTAGAGGTATATCAAGTGGCATAAATAATCAATCATTAGTCCCAAACAAAGAAATAGCACTAGTCATTCTTATTACCTCTTTTACATCACATAAAACAAATATTACATTTCACAATAAAAGTACATAGTCATGGCAAAAAAAGAAATCAAGTCAAATCGTCAACTTTTTAAATCAATTGTATAATAGTCATTAGCATGATTTAAAGGAAACAAGCTACTACATAATGAATTTTTAAATAAACACAAGCATGCTAGAAAGTTTCAAACATCCTCAACAAAAACTAAACAAGCCCTATGGGCAGAACAACATTCCCAAGCATTCATGTGTGTGTTAATAAAAAATAGATATCCTAATTAAAAAAAAATTCAATATTACCTCTTCTAAAAGCTCAAATTAATCCGCACATGTGCACAAATTCAACTGTCATATAATAATTCAATCTACAATATTTAATAATGACAACATCAATTAAATTCCTAATTAATCCACTAATTAACATAGCATATTTTAAAATTTACAAATTCTTGAATTAAGCTCTAAATTTATTCTATTCTCAAATTCAATCAATTTTCAACCAAATTTAATCCAAATAATCCTCCTTCACTAATAAATTATTCTTCTAGCTTCATCTAGTCTAGAAACCAAAGAATTTGTTTTCTTATACAACTTTTCAAGTCTCAATTTTTATTTTTAAATATCTAAAAACAATCTAATTATTCTTCGATCCAAAAAATTTAATCAAATCATCAATTAATAATCAAAACCTGAAAATAAATTCTCAATCATTCTCTTGGAAGTTTAATCCAAGTTTATTGATAAATTTTACAATTCCAAACATCTCATAAACTTTTATTCATCCACAAATTACTTACTAAACTTTTAACAAGCTTTCAAATTTTAATTTTCACTATTATTCCAAAAAGTTCCTTCCAGGGGTAAAAATACTGAGTACTTAAAAATAACATGAAATAAATACAATAATCATGAAAAGTTAAACATAAAATTCTTATCAACTAAAGTTTATAATCGAAATAATTTCCTAGCCAAATAATGTGCAAATTGCTTACCAAAAACACCCAAAAAAATCGCATTAATTCATCTAAAATTAGAAAAATCACTCAACCTTATAATTCAACCTTCCAATCAATTTCTAATAATTATTTTTAAGTTAGTCATTACCAATTATCAAAGCTAGTAATAATTACCAACTCTAAAAATCAAAATCTATTTTTTTATCCCCAAGCTCAATCTTTACATACTCATTTATAAAAATTTGATTTTATTCAATAAACTAAACTGATTATATTTAAGTATTCACTTACCTTAATAATGTTATAGGCTTGCATTAGTGAAAGTCAACACTTGGTTCGAACCTTGATATCCTAAAACATGCTGTCCTTAATATTTATATCTTTTGAAAGCTCTCCTCGCACAGAATAATTTTTATGAAGAGTATTTGGAAATTAGTAATGATTATGAGCACCGAATCAAGCTCTGAAGAGCTCTAAGCTTTTAAAAATGGCGCTGCCGTGCGAAACAGAGGAGAGAAGAAGAAGGCTCGCTCACGCGCGGGAAATGATTTGTGAAATTGTGTGAGTTGGGTACTTATTAATATTTTGGTGTGGGCCCCACGCCACATCCTCCGCTTATCGGGAAAGATTTGCACTCTTTGTTCGTTCATACCCCAAGAAAATCTCTCGGCAAGATCTACACTTTGTGCTCATAAAAAAATAGGACAATTTTTATTGTCAGACCATGGATGTGGCATTATTATAAATGACGCTTGATTAAATATGAAATTTCACTTCAGGGTAAGAGAATTGAAATGAGATAATTTTTCTTGGTTAAACGACCAAAAGTACCCTTAAGAGAAATGAAAAAAGAGAATATGAATTATAGCTTAACATTACTTGGCCTTGCTTAGAGGCCATGTTTAAATAAGAATTTAGGCTTGAAAAATTAAAATTTTTCTTAGCAATAGGGCTTTGGGTAGAGCCGAAAATAAAAACCAGGTTTGAAAGATTGAGTCTAAAGGCCCTATTTAAATAAAGGTTTGGCTTGAGAAATTAATTTTTTTTAAGGTAATCGAATTTGAAGGCCTAGCCCTAATAAGCCCTGTGAAAAAGAGTTCGAGCCCAAGCAGCCCTCCAAACCTTGATAAGCCTAGTTATCTTATATATATACACATACATACATATATTTGATTAATAATGATACAATTTAATTAATATTTATTGTAGGTGATGATGAACAAATTATAAAGGTAATTGACATTAAATCTTCACTTTTATTTTCAACAAGTGGACTTACATTTAAGGGATCTAATATTTTATTTTTCGATGATGATGAGAAATATTTAGGTTCTTCATCTTAAATTTAAATTTTTAAATCTTTGTTGAATTTTATATTTAATTTTATATAAGACTTTGATTTGTTTTATGTTAAATTTTAGAATATTCTGTTTAAATTTAAGGTTGGAATTTTTTTTGAGAAAAAGAGCTTAAAGGCCGAGTCATGAGCCCTTTAAATAAGAGCCAGGCTTTAAAATTAGGTCAAATTTTAGATAATCGAGCTTTAGGATTTGAACTCTTAAGGGTTAGGTTCGTCCTGATTTTTAGCTCTAGCTTTAGGGGCCAGCCCTTAAAAAAGGACTTGAGTTTGGGTGGCCTACCAAACTCTAAGCCTAGATGGTTCAAGTATTATGTTATCAAAATGATTGATGTTAGTTGTTTTTGCCATTTATTTCAACACAATATTAATGTATTTTTTGTTAATTTCTTAAAAATGATTACTTTGTAAGGTTTACTTTTTAGTGTTTGATTAATGTTGTACTCTATGATAAAATTCTATTTATTGAATTTGATAAAGTTAATCTGGATTAAAGATTTTTATCTTCATTGTAAAACTTAATCAATATTCTATATCTAGATTGGTATTTATTTATTTTATTAATTTTTTTTAAAGAAATAAAACGGGCTTGCATTGCTGGCCCTGAACATTTAAAATAATGGCTAGGCTTCAAAAATTAACTATTTTTTTTTTGAAAATTGAATTAAAGGATCTAAGCTTTTAAGGGTCGAGCTCAAAGGTTGAGTCTACCTATTTTTTATTTTTATTTGTTAACTTCTTTACATGACTTGTAAATAAAAAAATAGCAATTAAGAACTGCCAAATAAAATTTATATCAGTTAAAAATAAGTTATTGTTAAAATTTAAATGAATGTTTGAAAAACTCATTTATCATTCCCCTTCGAGTTCTCATCCTCAATATTTCCTTTTTGCTTTATTGTTTTTTTAATCAAATTCCTTCCAAGCGAACCAAAAATTGATTGTTGAGTATTTCTGGCGTTGTCTCATCGTTAGTGGGATTATGAAATATGGGAATGGTTTCTTTGAATTTAAGAATTTCATTAAATTTATTGTTTAAAAAATAAAGAGAAATTTTTTATTATTTTATAAAAAGTAACAAAATAGAATAAAATATTTTACAGAATTTCATACAAATTCATGAATATTAGCTATAGAAGATTTACTCCCAAATATCTAAATCTTCAATTGAAATATCAAATAATCCTTTCGAACTTTCCGGGCTCCCATATACGTGGTCTGCAATTAAAGCAGAAGAAAAAGAACCAAAGTGATAAATAGATGTATGAATAAAAATATGTGTCCAAATAAAAATTTATATTTAATAAAAAAGGGCGAGGAAATTTGAACAAAATTGAATTTAATTAAAAAAAATCAAAGAACATAAATTTTAGTTGTGATAAGAATATAACCTATCTCCTTTCTTATCCTTCCTAGAAGCGCCTTTATTTTGCTTAGAGCCGCGAAAATCGTGCAGCTAATATATGATAAATTATATTTGGCCTCCCTGAATTTAATTAAAAAAAAATTGCAATCACAAATTGTGAAATGACAGAGCAAAAAAGAAAAAAAGAAAATCAACCAACTTGAAGGTCTGTAGTCAATCTATAACAACATGCATCATTCATGGGTCAAACTTGGCCACACCATTCAAACTATCTTAAAAGAAACATGTCTAGTGTGATATGTTAAACATTTTTCACTTCACTTGGGATATTGAAATAAAATCGAGTGTACGAGGATAATACACACACATATGTAGGGGAATCCATATAATTTGGTTCCTAAACTATATATAATTTTATTTTATTGTTTTCGGTTCTTATAATTTTATTTTATTGTTTTCGGTTCTTTTAGTTATAATCAGTCTATAACATTGGTCCAATTAATTTTGGAACTAACAAAATTAATTTCACGGTAACTTTGCTAACCCCCTTTTACTGACATGATAAATAAATAAATAAATAAATAAATATATATATATATATGCTCATATCAAAATAAATGGATAAAAGAGAAAATTGATCATTGAATTATAAGTCTAGAAGCATTTAAAACTCTAAATTTATTTTTATACAATATTCCCATTTAACATTTGAAAGTCGTACAATTTGGCCTTTGTCATTAACAAAACTTATCTTTAACAGTTAGTTAATCAAAAAATAATCTCAAAAATAAAAAAACTAAAACATTATAGTAAAGAATTAAAAAATTACAAACAAGGACCCAAAAAAAGAAAAAAATAAGGAAATTTTATTGATAATTTTTTTTTAATTTTTGAAATTCTTTTATATTATTTTCTTATCAACTAACACTCAAAGTTAACTTTTATGAATAGTAGTTGCTAGATTGAATCACGGTTGTATGGGACTTATAGCTTAGAGATCAATTTGTTCTTTTATCCAAAATAAATTGATAAAGTGTGATTAAGAATAAAAGGAAATACTATAAAAAAATAAAAAGAAAGGATGAAAAAGAGCTTTATTTTATATTTGGCTTAAACAAAATTATTGTAAGAGATAAAGACAAGATTAAGTACAAATATAGGGATTAATAAAGTTAAGTTCAAATAAAACATAATCAAAGCAAAGGTACTTACCGGTGACCCAAGAGGAACTTAAAATGAAGAGCACAAGCAACAATGGTGAGAACAACCCAATAAACAAAGACAGGGAATTCATGCTTGGCCTCTGTCAAAGAAGGAACAGACTCTTCTTCATGACCTTCATTGAGCAAACTCTGCAACTCAATGATTCTCTTCACAGTTTCAAAAGCATTCTCGACGATGTGGTTGTAATCAGAGCCAGTGGCTGATCTCAAGTTTTTCTGGAACACATGAACATGGTACAACAATGCCAATGATCTCCCGAGGTTGTCTTCTCCAGAAACCTGAGAAAGGTGAAAGAAAGTGCCATATTCTAAAGAGAATGCTGCCAGAACTATCACTGCTTTTGATTCCCATGAATATGGTTTTAACTGTTCCAGGATTGACATTGTTGTTTCGTGTGCGTATGAGTGGTTCTCGTCATGAGCTGTGTGGATCATCTTTTGTTTTTTGTTTTGCCCCCAAAAGAACAACATAAATATGGTTAGAAACATTCATGTTTGATGTTTCTATCAGAATTTTTGAATTGTTTAAATGTAATTTAGATAGTTTAATTGATATTGGATTTTAATTTTCTAAAAATAAATCGTTCTTTGCTTAATTTTTAAAGAATGCACATGTATGGTTAGACTATGAGGGGGGGGGGAAAAAGGGAAAAATCCAACCATAGATTCCTATATTTAGACTTCCTTTTGGATTTTTTTTAAAGGTTTTATGGTTTATTTCATTGCTCATAATCTATTTAGTTTTATCAGTTCACAATGTAAGTCCGTATATATAGTTTTAACTACACATAAAAACTACGAGTTGGCATTGATAGAATTAACTGTACTTATGTGCATTTAACTTTGTTAACCCCCTTATTAATGTGTACTTAATATCGCATTCATCTACATTTTGTTCAAATCAAATATAACAGAAAGCTATTTTTCTCCTTAACTTTTAATTGATACAATTAATTATCTGAAAAGTTTCAAAAATATTACAATATCACCCTATGATAATGCTTGACTAACATTGACAGTTGGTTTAAAAATCCTGATTAGAGTTAAAGAACAATTTTATCCTAAAAGTTTTTTTTAAAACATCAATTGTTATCTTAAACTTTTTATTAGCACAATGTTTTTGGATTATCAATGTTCAAATTAAAGGAAAAATCTCCTATTATCAATGTTTAAAAATTGTTTATATTTCTAGATTTTGACAAGAAGATTTACCCAGCTTGAGCACTTCAAGGACTTTCCCTTATTTTGCCTAGGTTTAAGTCCAAACACGTGTCCATTGAGCATGTTTAAGCCTGAGCAGACATAACCGTGAGCAAATATAAATTTGTTCATAATTGTTTTTGGACAACACAGATTAGCTTAGATTTTGACTTAGAAGCATTTAGTAAAATTCAACCCGAAATCTTTTTTTTATATATATTTTGGGTTATAAAATTTGTTGGATCATTGTTTTAATTTGAAAGTTGATAATAAAAAAACATTATACTAATAAGAAGTTTATGACACCAATTGTTCATTTAAACAAATTTTTGGAGAAAAATTTCCCTTCAATCCTAAAAAAAAAAGTCACTATTAGTTAGCCGTTGCCATGGGTGACATTTTATTATTTTTGAAACTCCCACAATAATATTGTACCAATTAAAAGTTAATGATACCAATTGCAGATAGAGCAAATCTTCTAGGATAAATTTTCTATTTAACCCTATATTTAATCACACCTAGTCAACATTTTTTCCAAGTTAGCGTATTTTTACCATATTAACAAAAAAGGGTTAATAGAGTTATAGCAAAATTAACTATGTTAAGGTTAACTCATGGTCTTTAAAGACCTATTTGATTTCTATTCTTATTTTTTGTTTTCAAAAACTGTATTGTAATACAATTTTTAAAATTATTTTTAAAATAAAAATAAGTTTGGCTATGTTAATTAAAAATAGTTTTAGAATTAAAAAAATAAATTGATACTGATAATTATAGGTAGTTAATGATGGTGATTAATAATAAAAACTTTGATCAAGATAACTATAATTTTTAATAATTAAATGTAGTATATTTTAAAAAAAATAAAACAAAAATAACTTAGAGTTGCTTTTATATTTTTGTTTTTAAAAACAAAAAATGAAAACAGTTAAATAAAAAACACTTATCCAAATAGGTTTTTTTATTTTTTTTCAAAAACAAAAAATAATTTTTAAAAATAGAAAAAGATAGGCTATAAATTTATATATTTTTAAGACTATAAGAACTAATATTACAAACATAGAAAACTAAATGAATTGAGAACAACAAAATAAAAACTATATATAAAGAAACATAAACCAAACACAATTAAAGTATAGGGACCTATTGTTGTATTTTTTCAAGAAAACCTAAAGATGAGACCTTGTATATTCAAGTTACAAGAGAAAGATATTAAAATTAATGGGATAAAAATAAGACATTATTTGATATTCTAATTAGAAATTTGAACTAGCTTATATTTTTGAAAAGAACCTTATATATAAATAGCCAGAGGAAGCAAGTATTAAAGGATCATCATCGAGCATAATATGAAATAAAATGTATACAATAATCTATTATAGGCCATTATTGTATTATTATATTTAAAATTTTTAAATAACAAACTCACAATTCACAAAACACTGCTGACACTTTAAGAATGCTTGCAAATTATCTAAAAATTGTCATTGATATAAGGAATTATAAAATTGATTAGGGTATGTGTCTGAGTGAACCTAATGACATATTTATACACCCCACAGCTATGAACTTATTAAAGAATTAACTTAGGGATAAATGATAACTTGATTTCTAAATTATAGGTCAAGAAGTGTTTAAGTTTCTAAACTCATTTTTGGTATAATATTTTTTTTAATATTTCAAAACGGTATTATATAGCCTTTGTTGTCGTTAGCAAATGTTAAGTTTAAGCATTAATTGATAAAAAAATTACAGAAAATTAAAGGACCAATAAAAATTTCTTAATCCTTTTATATATTTTTTGGATTATTGTCTACAAATTGTTTTGTCCTTTTATATAATTTTTAAAGTCTTTCCTTATCATTTTTCAGTCAATCAACAATTAAAATTAAGTTTTGTTAATATTATGGGCGACATTGCATTATTTTCAAAATTTAAAGGAGAATATTATACTAAAAATGAGTTTATAGCTTAAAACAATCCGAAAAGTATGTGGGTCAATATGATATTTAACCCATTAATTTACATATATCATCCGCTTAAACTACAAAAAGGCTTAATGAACATAAGTGCCTTCAATTGATTGGAATTCATAAATTATTTTTTCATCTAATATTATACAAAAAATGAGTTTATAGCTGAAAACACTCCTAAAAGTATATGGGTCAATGCAATATTTAACCCATTAATTTACTTATATCATCCGCTTAAACTACAAAAAAAGTTTAATGAACATAAGTGCCTTCAATTGATTGGAATTCATAAATTAATTGCTCATCTAATATTGTAAATTAATATTTCAAGTAAATTACTTGCTTAACTTTGTCGGGTGTGACTAATTGGTATTTAGTAAACCCCATCATTTATAAATTAGAAATAGTATAACTCATTTTTACAATTCAATATAATACAAAAAAAGTATATAAATTGTAGAAAGAAATTGATATCAAATAAATATGAAGATTAAAATTGAAATTAATCCAAATTTTTGCACAACTATAGCATTAATTTTTTCTAAGATTTAAAAATCGAAGAAAAGCCTATAAAAATTCAAAAATAAAATAATTTTGTTTTTGTAAAAAACTCACTACCCAGGAGTAGTCTGGTCCAATTCATCTAAGCCTACGAAGGAGATGGGCCATAAAAGCGCTTTTGTTTGTGACAGAAACATGGGCTTAATAAACCATGTAAAGAAGAAACGGGCGGCTCAATGAGCCGAGCCACCATTTCCATAGCTAATGTTTTTGTTTTTTTTTTTATTGTTTTTTGGATCAACATTCCGTAGCTAATATTAATTCTTCTTTTGGATACCGCTGAAAATAAGTTAATATTAATTCTTCTGACAGTACAAAGTAATTTTTTAAGGGTAAGATTTATATATTTAATCTTATATATTTAAGATATTTATATTCAATTAAATCATGATAAGCAGATATTAATATGTTAATTAAATTAATAACAAAAATTTATTATAGAATAAATAGTCTATAAAGATCTACATGTCTCAATTTAATTAAAAACAAGTATATTAAGTATATAATATTAAGTATGTAAGTTTTTTTCATTCACCAACACACGTGATTTTCAAAACAAAATTACTAAATCATTTTTTTCTATATTAATTTTTTTATTCACCAAAGTGGAGAAGAAGTGGTGATGGAAGGACGAAGATGGTGGAGATGAAAAAGAGCCAATTGAAAAAAATACAATAAATTTTAATTATATAAAAGAATCATAGTTCTAAGATTTAATTTCTGAAATTTGTGGTCCTGAATAATTTTTTATTACTTTCACAGGTCCTTATTGTAATTTTCTCTAATAATAATATTCAATTTTATTGTGTTTTGGTGGGCCTTGCATAACATGTGGGGCCCACCAAAAACTCTATGGCCTCGTCTGGTATGATGGAAGAGTTTTTAATGAAATTGGAATCGGAATCAAAATTGGAGTTGAAATCAGAATTGGAATAGAATTGAGTTTTAAAAGTGTGTTTAGTATGAAGATGAAATTCTAATATAATATTAATTTATATATGTACTTAAAATAGGAAAAGACTAAATTTTTCTTTTTTTAAAATTAAAAAGACCTATCTTGTTATAAATGGATAAAAAAGATGAGGATAGTGGGGTCCATAAATTGAATTCAAGGGAATTGAAGTAATTCCATGGTCAATATGATAGCATTAAATTCTAGCATTTTTTGTGGAATTAGGATTTTTAAGAATTACAACTCTTGTATATCAATCATGCTTAAATTAGGATTCCATCTTTGATTTTATTTTCACCTTACCAATTCAATGCTACCAAACATGGCCTATATATTAATCTTCTCTTGAATGTGAAAATATATGCAATAAAATACACTACCTGACAAGAAATATGCTTGAGCATGCGTGTCGGTGGCTCAAAGTTGTCTGGCATAGCCTTGTGATGATCTTCTTCAATCTGTTTATAAATGAACAATAATAAAACAATCACAACTCAACACACACACACACACACACACACACACACACACACACAAGTGTCAATAAGAACTATTAATCCGATCATTAAGAGCTTAAACCTATAAAACCTGTATATTTCAAATCAGTTGTGTTTTTAAAATCCGACTTTAACTGACAGGGCTCCGGGGTCAAGCTTGAAAACCTGTATAAAAGGGCTAGTCCAAACTTATTTTTAAATAAGAGACGAAGAATTCTTTTATACAAAAATCTTCTATGTTTTTCAAACTCCATTAAAAAAAAAAAAATTACAGAACCTCAGGAAGAGCTTGCTTGATGGGCCCATAAACATGGCTCTAACAAGAAGGAATGCTCTAATAATATAAGCATATATGTATATATCAGATGATGAAGAAGGAGGTTATATGTATGTATATATATATATATATATATATATATTACCGTGGTGCCGTGGCCTGTATCAACATCACCAATAAGTGAGCGATTCATAATGGTTGATACAACACTGAAAAGAGCTTGCACATTGAACGACGACGATTCTTCACTACCAGTTTCATGAACTTGGTTGAATTTGCAAACCAGATCCAAGATCTGGCTATCACTTAGGGTTAATGGTTTGATCAGCAGCTGCTTCGATGTCATCATGATGATCTTTTTCTGATCTCTCTGAAACTATGTGAACTACATAGATAGATAGATGATATTGATGACCACTGTGGCAGCTCAGTTATATCTTTTCCTCGTGCATCTTATTAATTAATTACTTAATCAAGATTTATTCTTTTGAGAAGTTGGATATATCTTTATTTTGCTTTCCAGAAGGATGGCGTTTTTCTGTCTTTAACTTTGTACTGTGTGAGAGTACTCTTCGAGAAAAAAAGAGAAGATTATGTACTAAAAGGATTGGAAGGGGAATATCTTAAGATTGTGAACAAGGCAAAGAATAATATCTCATGTCAAAACGACAATATAAATCTCCAAAAACATTAAAAAAGAGAGGAACAAAAATTAAATAGAGATAAGAGAAAAGGTAATGATGAAATAAGTCTATGTAATGAAATATTAACGAAGGAGTATTATATATGTGGGAGAATTATATTTAGCTCCCTCTCAAGAGAATTTATCACAAACAAGGATCAACAACAAGTTCCATTCAAAAAAAAAAAAATCATGTTCCTATTTTAATAATAATTCATTTCACACTTATCCTTATTTGTGATAATTTCTTTGAGAGGGGGCTGGATGTGATTGTTCCTACACACACATGATTATATATGAATATCTGGAATGTTCCTATTTAAGCACATGCTGATAAATTAATATCTGTGCACGCGCGCGCACAACGTAAATCTACATACATGATAAGACATTATTTTTCTCGAAGCAAATGGTGATGTACTGATTCCTCTATATATATAATTATTTTATTATTTGATATTTAATATTATTAAGTTAAATTTGAGCATGGTCATATTTATAAGGTTAAAACTTTTAACCTTATTCAAGGACATAATCGAAACCATAGAGTCTTTAACATGATTTTACAATAAATAAAAAACCATAAAATGGAGGCATAGGGATTTCAGTTTATTAAATATCAAGGATAATGACAGTTTTAGTTCTTCAAATTTAATTCAGTTATCAATTTGGTCCCTGAAGTTTTTAATTTTTATTAATTTGATCCCTAAAGTATGCCTCAATTACCGAATTGGACCTTATTGTTTGAAGAGAAAGTAATACTATTAAAATTTGTTGTCACAGATAATGAAAATGTTGATGGTAGCCGTAATAATTAATGAAAAAAATGTAATTATGTCAGTGTAAGGAAAAAAAAAATGAAGACATTTTAAAAAACTAAAGATGAGGGATTATGTTAATAAAAATTAAAGATTAAAATATATAAAATTCTCATGAACTTTGATGTAGTTGCACATAACTCTCCTCATCTTTAATAACTAAATCAAATTTTCTGGAAAAAAAATTACTTAAGTCAAATTTAAGAGACCAAATTTTTTGATTATCCCTAAATATTAATGTTGTATGAGCACGTGAGTACATGAAAAAGATGTGAATAAATAATATACACCATAGAAATATATGTTATTTCAACGAGAAGGAGAAAAGAGATAAAGATGCATATATTGAATTATGGAAGGTTGTGAATTGTGATTGTGACTGCTTGATGGGAAGGCTGAGCCCAGGGTGGAGATGAAGCACTATATTGTTGTTGTTTTTTAAATAATTCCTTAATTAGAGGATATACGAGAATAAATATATTTTAAAATATAATTATAGCACTCTGATCTATATATTTAGGGTTACTGAGCAAATAGGACCCTGAACTCTTGTTTAAAAATTGCTTTAGACTCTAAACTCTTAAAATATATAAAATGAATACTAAACTTTTAAATTCATAGCAAAATAAACCCTGACTGTTAACTTTTTTTCCATTACTGTCCACACGGGTACAGTAACAGTTGAAATTAAATTTCTGAAAAAATAAATCCTGAACAGTACTTGTGTGGATAATGGTGTTAAAAAGTTAATGATTAGGATTTATTTTGCTTTAAATTTAAAATTTTAGAGTTTATTTTGTACATTTTAAAAGTTCAGGATTCAGGATAATTTTTGAGTAATAGTTTAGGGTCCTATTTGCTCATTAACTCATATATTTATAAAGGCTTACTTTAATTTTATAATAATGTAAGACCTCAATCTATTTTTTCCCTAAATTTATAGTTTCTTTTTCAAACTATTTCTATTAATTACACTTATTAAAATGGCTTTTCATCATTGGGTGTTTCCAATGCAAATGATTAAACTGGAAATATTTTAGATAAAACAAGATACATCTTTCACAAATAATTAACTTAATTAATTTCCTTAATATTTATAAATTTAACTCTTAAATTTAAAATCAGAAGGAGTAATTTACTGAATAAAAAAAATTCCATATGCATGGTGACATGTGATAGAGTGACGTTTCTCAATTTTCAACATAACTATATGTCTGGTTATAAACAAAATGGAGCTGCTGACGGGGATTATTTATTCATAAAATAAGGCCGTGTTAAGAAGTTTTGAAGTCTAAAATAAAATTATTAAAGAGTCTTCACCTTTCTAGTTTTTTTTTTTGGGGGCAAAATCATATATTAAATTTCGTAATCAAATAATTCAACCTTCTACCCTTAATAAATAATATGACTAATCCATTTAATCTATTGGGACATGGTCAATCTCAAGTATATATGGTTTAATTTAAACAATTTTAATTTTTTCAAACTTCTTTCAGTTGTAGCAATTGTTATAAATATTTTTCTGGGCCAAAAGAAAATTGTTATAGATATTTTTAATAATATTCTATAAACAATATACAATGTATTATAGGGAAGAGTCCAATCTCTTGATGTAACTCAATTAATATTAATTTCTTTTGTTAATATTTCTCTTATTACATGAAATTTTAAAAATAAATTAAAATCATTAATATTATAATGGTCATTAAAACTCAATAATTGTAACGTCTTGAATTTTGGGCCCAGCAGCTCAAGAATATGCAAGAATTTAATAAATTACTAAGTCTAAGTAATCAAGACTACTCCTTACGTTGCCTTAAAAAGATAGAATGGTTATCAGGGACTGAATTATAATTTTAAAGTTTTCCTTGAATAAAAGCATAATATTTTAAGAGATATCAAGGACGTGTCTTTAATTGAGGTATGGGCAAGTTATAGTTTAGAAGAATTCAAGATAGGCTAAAAGGAATAGATAGGCCTAGGGGGTAATAGATGTATCTAAAATTAGTTTTGAAGAATAATCAATACAGTTGCCAAACTAAATATAGGTGGTTATTTGACAATTTTATCCTTATATCCTAAGTCTCTTAGACAAAGATTGCACCTAGATCCTATGGATTATAATAGATTCAAATAGGGCTTAGTGAAATTGCAGTTAGATCTTGAGATCTTAGTTATATCTTATGATCGTAGCAGACTTAGAAAAAAGTTATTGAGTCACATAGTATATGACAATCTTCTAGGAAGGCGATGACGGAGGATGAGTTTAGAATATAGAGATATCTTAAGTTTGGGTAACTATTACAAAGAGAATATCCTTAACTTTTTTTTAGATAACTCAATTACTAACTAGGCTAAGAAATGAAAGAGAAGAAAGTGAGTAAGAGCAATAACTTATCTAGAATTAAATGGTAATTATTAATGTTCAAGGCTAATTTTATATAATTAAATATAATGAGAGTGTGAGAAAAATATCTAGAGTTAAAAAAGTACAAAAGTGAAAAATGTTGTGCTCAATTAGGGTCAAAATATAATTTTTAAAAGTTTTGGGTCTTAAAGTGTAATAACAAAAATTACCAAAATTTATGAAGAATTAAAGGAAATTAGTGTATTCAGCGAAGAAATATTTGGAAGAGTAATACTAATTTTATTGGTTAAGAATTTTCAAAGTAATTTATTATAGAAATAAATTCATTTAGGCTGAGAAAATGCCCAAAATTCTATCTAAGATTAAAAATTCATGGGATGCTAATCCAAGCCCATTTTAAAGGGTTGGAGGACGTGGCTTTGGGCAGAAAAGGAGACTAAAATATTATTTTTTTTACTTGGCCCAAATTAAAAGAAGACAGATATTTGGTGTAGATCTATGGAAGTGAAAATTTTATTAAACATGGTTAATATTTTTCCTTAATTTCAAGAGCACTCCTATACATGCTTCTGAGGCCATATTTCATTCTTACATATACGAGAGTGCTTGGGAAAAAGCACTTCTGTATCTAAACATACAAGCACTCTTGTATATTCCGGGGTGCTAGATATAGGAGCACTTTTAAAGTGCTTCCTAAGACTAAAAAAAGCACTTCTGTAAATTTATATTGTAGTAGTGTAACCACAACTCTCTCAATTCCATTAGCATATTTTCAGTCATCACACCATTGAGGGAGAGAGAGATTGTGTGTGTGGAAGAGGAGGAGGAAGAGGAGTAGGAGGGAGAAAAAGAAGAAGAAGGATCAAAAGGTTTAAGGCTTCATCGGTAATTTTTCTTGTCTAATTGACAATTTGGGCAAGGTTTTGGTAGTTTCCTCTTGTTCATGACTTCTTAATCCTCTCTTAAATTATCTTAGTGGATGTGTTGGGTTATCCACCCTTGGTGGATTAGGCCCACATAAAAGCCCAAATTGGGGAATGGGGCTCGTATGAGAATTATGAAAAATGTTTGGGTTCAAAATACAATTTACTCAGGGCCTTAAAATGTAATATTCTCCAACCTTTGAATTTGAAACCTGGGTGGTTGGAGAAACTGCCGCACGTTCCCATAAGAGGCAGTTATGGGTGCGGTTTCAATCGATTCAGATTTTGGATTCTCTGCATGAAGAGAAACACAGAACGCTCTCAGTTTTTCATCAGTCTCATTTTTCTCCTTACAAGGTTTTTCTCTCAAAGAGTGCCTTTGTTGTGGACCCGAACGAAGTTCGACCGGTGTAACTTTATTTTCGCATACGTACGTGTGAATTAATGACTCAAGGTATGTTTTTCCTCCTCTGTTTTCTTTCATTGGTATTAGAGCTTTCATCTTTCCTGGGCTGTGTTTTCTATGTTTAAAGAACTGATAATGATTTGCTTAACTCCATACACGCAAATCTCTAAGTTTAGTTTTTTCTTATGTTCTTATTGTGTTTACGCTTCAATCTTCTTTGTC